AAAAAAAAAAAAAAAAAAAAAAAAAAAAAAAAAAAAAAAAAAAAAAAAAAAAAAAAAAGGCAAAAAAAAAATTGTACATGCGCTATAATTTTTGTCAATGGTCGCGTTATTTTCAACTTATATGAGTCGGTAAGTGGTTATTATATTTTTTGAAATGGTAGAAAATCATTAAAAAATATAACATATTTCTAATTCCTTTTTAAATTATTATTTGTTTACATAACAATGTTAGAAATAATATATGATAATTTAATGTTATATTTATATAAATAAAGTGAATGTTATTTGTATAATTTTGATATTGAAATTGAAACAAAATGATGTGCAAGATTTTTGTATTCGAAAACAATATCTAATATAGAATTAATTAATAATTTGTAAATGTGTTTGGGACAGTTAGAAAATGTTGCCTGACCGACTCATGTAGTTGTATTTCTCTATAATACACAATCACATCAATGTATTCTTGTTGGATTATTCTATCTTGTAACTTATTGTTGTAACATATACCCATTCATGTCTAGTGTCAAGCAGAGCTGATTCTATGCTTTTGCTAGTTGAAAAACTGGAGGGAATATGTTTTTAAGTAAAGAAAAGAAAGAAAAGCATAGTATGGAAATTGAATGAATATTATTTATTCATGTATTTTAAAAAATGGAGCAAGTTGAAAATTTCATATTGTTGACTAATTTAAAAACAAGCATGCAAAAAATTAAAAAACAAATCATTAAAAAACAAAAATAAACAGAATCAGTGCTGGCGAAAACACAAGGCAAACAAAAATTATTATAAATTTAAAAAAGTCATTTAAGGTACTTTTAAAATGGATACATATTTGGAAAGTAGGAGGTAATCATTGTATAAATGTAGTGGCAATTCTATAATACTACAACAAAAAAAAATCAATATATTCAACAATTATTCGAAATACTAAATGCAAAATGCACTTTAATGGATGTTATAACAGTTTAGAATATTCAAATTGCATCGACATTTTGCTGTAAATCTGTTCTTTGGAATATACTACTCTGCCAATTAAACAAAAAATATTTTTTTTCTTAAAAAAATAAAAAAAATTACTTAATAAATAATAATTATGTATTGGGAAACAAAGAGCAATCTCTTTTTTTTATCCCAATAAGCAGAGAAGTTTCTCCAATGACAGATATTTTAAGTTTGTTTCTTTTGAAGAAAAAAATATATGTATTTATCTTCATTTTTTCTTGTATAAATACAATTACACGACACACATGCAAATTAGAGAAAATGGTTCATACAGATTCTCTCTTAAGTTAAAGAGAAAAAACGAAAACTTTGCAGAATATACTGCACAGTTTGAAATAAAGGAAACAAACTTTCAGTGAAGTTTTGTAAAGAAAGCTGTTCGTGTGAGAGGTTCTCGGAGATGGTTGGCTGACATTTTCGGAAGTTCAATGATTTATTAAAAGGTGTTATCATGTCTTGAATACAATTAAAAGAATTATAAAAAGAAAAAAAATTCATCTTTTATTATTGTTTGTTATTATTGTTTGCCATTATACCATTATGCTATTTTCAATTTAATTTTATACTTACTTTTTAAATTAATATTTCTAGTTCATAGAAATATAAATTATAAAAAGAATTAATTAAGATTACAATTTAATAATTTTTAGAATTTTTTTTAAGAACTAGTTTAATTAAACTAAATGAAAAAAATAATTAACAGCGCAATAACAAAAAAATAATTAACAATGTAATATTTCATCATTCCATTTTATTATTTCTCAGAGTTTTTCAAATACTATTAATTTTTATTAGAAGAATTTAATATCATAAAGTAGTATGTTTCACAGGATAGGTATACAATCGGTTTTTGTATCCCTGAATATCAGTAATATATACCGATGATTTGTCAGTTTCTTCAATAACAGGAATATAATCCAATGAATACTTTATATTCCCAGCATTTTCTATTTTTGAGTTAGCTATAAAAAAATTAATATTTTTCTCAATAATTCATAATATAATATAAAATTAATACATTTATAATTCTATTTTTATGTAATCTGATACCTTCATTATTTTCCAAATCAGTTGATTTAGCGCTACCAACCACGTGTACACTTAATTTTCTAAAATTATTCCCATTAATTGTATGAGATTGCATCCATTCTCTCAACTCATCAATTGTAATATGCTCTATCATACTCAATTCATTTTCTATTCTATCAAACATATAATCTCCAGTTATAATTTCTGACCAATTTCTATCAACTTCTTCTTTTAAATGTATATCAGCGCACTGTTTCAATTTTATTACTGCCTCTTTAATGCTATCTAGATCTTTCTCCAAAATCCCTTGTAGCATATTATTGAACATTGTCAAAAAAGCTTCTATTCTGTTATCCACATGTTCTGTACTGTATTTATCTGCTTGGGTATATACCGTGATGGAATAACCAAGAATACCAAAGGTATCTCTTAATAAACAGAAAACGTTATAACCAAGTTGCTCTTGTGTTCTTAATTGATTAAAAAGTGGTTCTTCCATGTACATCTGTAAAATATAATGTAAGTATTTATTATTATATTTATTATTATACAATAAATTCGAAATAATAAAATTTGAACATATACTTACTATTAACAATTCAATAATAACTAACAATTTGATAGATGAAACACCAGATTGATAATAATTCATTACAACAGAATTTACATCTGTGCTATTAAAATTTTTTACTTTACAATAATGTGAACCAATTGGTATTTGCATTACTCTCATTTGTTGCATCGTGTTAGGCAATAATGGTCCACATTTGAGAGTCTTTACACATTCCTGAACGTTTTTTATTACATCTTCCTTTGTCATATTCCCTTGTACTAAAGATTGAATATAAACATGGTCAGTAAAATGACTAACAAAATTCTGGAATTCAGAAAATTCCACATTATGAATTGCAGCATGTTTGTCTGTGGCCATCCAATGAATAAACATTAGAATTGATAATCTTACATCCCTAAAATAATTTTAAGAAATATAAATCATCATAAATTTATTATTTTTAATTTTCTAAAAAACATCATTTACCGAACTAATTTTTTAGGTTTTACAAAATTATTATAATATGCCTTAATTTCTTCTTGTTTCATAACTTCGAAAAATTCTTCAGTTATTAATGTTGGAATATCAGCTATACACTTTGCTATAGTCATCAATAGAAGCTATTAACAAAAATGAAAACATTATATAAAAGT